GACATGAGTCAATGTCTGGAAACCTTTGTTGTTGTCACAACTGGGCAGGGTGGGGAAGGATGGGAGTGGTACTGCTGGCATCCTGGGGCACAGAGACTGGAGGTGCTGGTAGAGATCCCGCCCCGCTGCACTGACCCCTGTGATAAGAAGGGTCTGACCAGAAATGTCAGTAGTGCCAATGCTGAGAAACCTAGGTATAGCGTGTGATAATTGCTGTATTCAAAACAACTACCACGTTTTTAGTGTTTTCTGAGCCTGGCCCTGTTCTGTGGTCAAGGTGTACATATATTACTATTGCTCCTAGCTAGGTTTAGGAGTCTCGGAAGGCTGAGTTGCACTCTGAGGTCAGGTAGAAGGTGGTGTGTGCTACCACTTGGAGGTAACAGTTAGGGACATCTGGGGAAATGCAGGCTGCTCACGATGGTGAAAGCTAGAAGGTGGGGGAGCAAGAAACTCAAGAAGAGGCTACGGAAGTTGGAGAGTGGAAGCTGGAAATGGATGGCAGTGTACAACATTCTGAGGCACTTGGTTTTTGTTTAAAGGCTGTAGAACACCAAAAATGGGTTTTAGGTTGGGTGGTTACATGTTTGGGTTTGTCTTTTTTGGAAGAGTTCTTCAGTAGTTTTAAGGGGAACTAATTGGCAGGAGGCAACTGGAGATAAGTTGATTAGGAGGCCATTGCAGCCATTTCATGTAAGGATTGAGCCAGGAAAGTGAGAGTAGGGATGGAAATATAGTTGAATTTCAGAGTTGTTGATGAGGTTGAATGTTTGGGGCACCGAAGAAGGAAGGAGTTAGGATCAGGTCATTGATTATTGACCAGGGCAAGCATGGATAAAGCACATATGCCCCTTCCCCAAAGTGAGGTATGTAAGTCTTGTCAGCAGTAACTGCTTCTAGCTTCAAGCCCAGCAAATGGGGGGATGTCTGTCTTTTCCGTCAGCTCTGGACAAAACCTATGGTCTGAAAGTTAAGCCAGCCGTTGCAATACATGGGCACACAATGGAGGAGAGAAGACAGGGTTTCCGCAATAAAATCTTATTAAAAGGAGGAGAGAATGGACATACTCCATAGATACTGCATTCCATCCTGTTGAATGAGAATTGCAAGACTCCTGCACGCTAACTGGCGTGAACTCCGAGGTTGGCCAGGTTACTGCTTTTGGTTTTGTTCTTTGCAAAGATCTCCGTTGTCCATTGTCCTTTGTGGCTCCTCTGGGATGGGTGTCTAAGTCATATTTCAGCTCAGGTGTCAGCTCCTCAGAGAGCTTTTCTTTGACTTCCGGGAAGAAAGCAGGCATCCAGTTTTTAAGCACCTTGTTGGAGCTAGGGACAGGGCATGTGTAAGTTATCTGCAGCATTCAGTTCATTTGTGTGTTGCACTTTTTGTGCCCCCTTATGCTGGAATGTAAGGTCAGGAGTTGAGGAGGGGCCGTGGCTGATGTGTTCACTCTGAATCTCTAATATCTGGAATGGTATTTCGGTATATTTTTTGAAAGAATGAGGAAATGAATGAGAGAGAATAAAATGCTGAAGGAGGACCCGGTTTTTAAAATTTTTTTGGTCTGTCTTTTGGTGGGGAAGAGGACGTTTAATTCAGTTTTGGATATGAGTTTTAGAAATATTAATACTAAATATAGACAGGAACATAGGCTTGTCAATAGGCCATTAAGCATGCAATAGGTACAGCTGTCCAATTGGCCGTTAAACATGCAAAGTGAAGCTCAGGGAAATTTACGGTAAAGATTGCTAACATTTACTGATCTTTGCCATGTGCCAGTCTCTGTTCTTAGCACTTTAGTGGTCTTAGTAAAGTGGAGCTATCAATTTATGGAAGCAGAAACTGAAGCTATTGAGTAGTAATGTCCAGAGGGGATGCATGAGAATTAAATAAGCAGAGAATCCAGAGGCACAGTGGTATCTAAAAGGTGAGTCAAGAAACAGGCACAAGATCCTGGGAAACACTTGT